CGTAGTTAAGGTTGAGTTAGTTTGTATTGGAATTAACAGTCGTGATTTCTATTATGATTTACTGTAAAAAATTTTGGCACAAAACTTACCCACTATTAGTAAGGTTAAGTTAGTTTGTATTGGAATTAACAGTCGTGATTTCTATCATGATTTACTGTAAAAAATTTTGGTACAAAACTTACACGCTATTGCGGTGGCGCGTGTAGCTAAGTTATTATTCTAGCTTTAAATTTAAGGCAACAAAATTTATAAACACACATTATACTTACGATCCTTCAAGCAATTTATAGGCCTCCGTTGCCCACATATCTCTCGGTTTAATTTTTAATAATTTCATCAAATCATCAATTGATTCATTATACCTTTTCATCATGTAATTAATTTCACCTTGATATCTTAGTGCTGTTATATTGTCTGGTTCGATTTCTAGTAATTTAGCTAAGTCTTCCACTGCTTTATCATATTTGCCCAAAATAAAAAAAATTTTTCCTCGATAGCTTAATTCAAATATATTATTTTGTTTGTTTTCTTTTAATGATTTTGTCAATTCATTAACTAAATCGGCAAGTGATGCTCCATCTTTGTCTATAATTAAATAATCTTTTGTTTGGTATTTTAGTGAAAGTGCATTTTCGTTATTTGGCTTAATCAAGTTTTTTATTCTATTAATTATCTCAGATGTATTGTTAATATTGATATTTTCGTTAGTCATTACTATTTTTATAATGAAGTAAAATGTATATAAGTTTGAATCCACATTGATCACGCAGTGTTAAATAAAATTTACCATAATATTTGAATTTTTGGCGACCGAAGTTCACTTTTACAGATCCGCCTTGCGATCTAAATCCAACACAGGGATATAAATGCCTTTCCAATTATCAGGCAGATTGCACGCAATTCCTTTAAATATATTATAATATTTAATTTCTATTTTATCAGAATTTGAAAATATAAAATTTATTTCCTAAGGTGTTAATTACCCAAGTTAATTCCATTTTTAGTATAAAATACTATCTTATTTATGAAATTTAAATAACATCCAATAATATCGCCAGTAGTGTATGTTGGTCCATACGGCTCTACATTTCCAGAACAAAAAAAATATCCATCGTCACCATGGTAACCACATTCCCACGATTCATTTTTTTTATTTTCCTCATTTTTTACATTTTCATTATTTCCCTGTCCTAAAGGATATTATAATATAAATGTTAATATGTAATCATAAGAAATAATAAATAAAAAATTTTGGTAATACCAAGCACAAGCATGTTCTTTATATAATCAGTATTTTCATTTGAATCGTCTATTTTTTTAACATTTTGTTTTGTACTGTATCCGATTCCAATCATTCTATTAAAAAAATAATAATTAAAAAAAAGATTGCGAGACTAAAAGTGATGAAATAATTATTAGTATTACCCATTTTTCTCTCTATTTATAATTTTAATTTCAAAGTAAAATATTCCACATCGTAAAGGGATTGGATGATTCGATCGAACTATAGCAGCTTTATAATCACCAGGATCTTTAATTGGAAGTTTTTAATAAATTAGCAAGATGTGCGTTATTTATGATTAACACTCATCAAATTGAGATGTTAACCCAATAAAATATTTTTCTGCAAAGATTCTTATCTCACATTACCCGTATAATTCGCTTTAAGACCATTTGAATCGATCTTAATAAATGGTGATTTATTTTCAATATTCCATGCTGTCGGTAAAGCATCATCATTGTGTGAATCTTCCATTGGGATAATATTCGCAGATGAGTTGTTATTTAGATTTTTGATCAGAGACTGACAATTAGTGAACAGAAACATAGCAATTTATAGGATTATTTGTATGCATATACGTACTTACGTATGTAGCATTTATGGAACAATGAATATATGTATCTATGCACATCAACCGTCCCTAATGCTAAAGCTTCGGTGGGGTGTTAAATGTACTACGTATGTAAATCAGAGCCAGTGGATTTTAATAGTAGCAAAAATAGCATTAGCAATATCACGACAACCACATAAACAAATCTGACCGAAATTGTTTTATTTTAATTCTATAAATACATAGGAATTAAAGTAAAACAATTTCGGTCAGATTTGTTTATGTGATTGTCGTGATATTGCTAATGCTATTTTTGCTACTATTAAAATCCACTGGCTCTGATGTAAATCAAATATATGTATAGTTCCCATAGGAAAATTGAATATATAAAATTTTGTATAACAATACATGTATTCGTAGTCCCGATTTTTGTGTAACAATACCGAAAATCTATAGTAAAATACTAGATTTTTTAACAAATTTATTAAAAAGTGTTAAATTACAGTAATAAAAAAATCGCTTCATTAGTTTAAAATACAGACCATATTGAGTAACTGAGCAAAATTTCTAAACAAATTAACACGTAAGTTATGGAAGAGATACAATTTGAAGTCGTATAGGTATCTATAGGACTTTAAATTGTATCTCTTCAATAACTTATATGCTCAGTTACTCAACAAGAGCTATATTTTAAACTAATGAAGCGATTTTTTTATTAATTTAAAACTTTTTAATAAACTTGTTAAAAAGTCTGGTATTTTACTATAGATTTTCGCGATTGTCACACAAAATTTTGTATATTCGATTTTCCTATGGGACTATACATGTATTTGATTTTCATAGTGCATTTAACACCCTAAAGCTTCGGCCATTTCTGCTTTTGTGCATGCTGATACAAACATTAATGTAAACCTTATCTGTCACACTAACTGTATCACTGCAAATTCTGATTATGATTGACTAAGAGAGGCTATCGAAATTTAAGCCGAAATTAATCAAAAACTACTAATGGAACTATGGCAGACCACTGAGCGAAAAATAATTCTGTGCTTAATTTTACTCTAGAGCAAGCCTATTTCTCAAAATTTTAAAAAATTAAAAGGTAAACTCCGGATATCCATGCACGTCCGTCCTCTTTACAGCTGTTATTATAAATTCTGAGACATCTAATGATTTTTCGAATTTCAGCATGATCGGTTTATAAAAGCTGCCACATATAATACTTGCTCTACAGATCGTTAGAACGTTAACATATCTAACAAGTTTGATGTGTTTAGTTTGTACAAAAACTTATGGAAAGACTGCTATTGCCAACCAATAAACTTAGCAAGAAATATTAAAAAAGCTCTGAATATAAATTAAATTTTATAATAAACATATAACCAGAACTGCGCAAATATATATTTAAATATTACTTTTTTTATTAGTATATCTAAGTTGGTTCAAATTGTCACAAAGTTAGATAAAATTGATGGAGGTTTTGGAACAGTATTTTCAACAATCCGGTTAGACGGCGTTCAAAAGATTGAATATAAAATGAAAGCTACGCCTGTATTTTTGCCAAATACCGTATACTTCCGAAATTAAGCTCCCCCTCGGAGCAATTTTTATAGCCAAAATTCTCGTGATCTAATAATCGGATCTGCATAATTTTGGTACCATTCGAATCGTTTTGGAAAACTGATTCGAATGGTGCCAGAATTACAGTATAACCTCGATATAACGAACCTCGATATAACGATAACGAAGATTTTTTATGTTTAAATTAGTCCCAATATAACGAAACTATTAATAAAGGTTTGATATAACGAAGAAAATCTCCAGCTCCAGAGCTTCGTTATATCGAGGTTATACTGTACGTAGATCCGATTATTAGATCACGAGAATTTTGGCTATAAAAATTGCTCCGAGGGGTGCTTAATTTCGGAAGTATACGGTATATCTAAAGTTATTTCTTCTCGATTCGTGTTTCTTTTTTTTCATTTCGAAAATGTAAACTCTCTTTCGTTTCTTCATAACATTTGTCTATAGTATTGCTGTTGCTCGAATTCAAAGAGATATTCGTACGCATTTTTCATAATGTTTTTCGAATTTTTTACAGCCGCAGAATAATGGTAATTCATCAACGCGAAATAATGAGAAAATATTGGCTTTAAAAGTTTGGACGATAATTCCGAATAAATAAGTATGTATTGTATTATTTTACGGGTTATACCAAATTCTTTATAGCCATATCTTAATACAAAAAAAATTATAATAGTAACGCTGCCCAAGTATTAAATATTCCTGTTATATCTACAACTTACAAATTGAGAAAAAATAGAAAACTTACAAAGTATAGGACGGGCAAGGTGGAAATTTTCGTTCAAAGAGATTCTACGAACGTATAATAAGTAAGCAGAGATCTGATATATGAATTGCCAATAATTGACACACATTCAAGAAACGCATCCAATATAGCTCAATAGATTATTCGCATGCAGATTTACTTGTAAGAATATTAAAGGAAGATTCAGAATCAACTTAAGTTTGCAGTATTTCGGATTTTAAAGAAACACTTAATTAGCGATAGAATTTATAAAGACCAACGTATTAGCAATTATACTCTATTTTATTAATCATTATATTTTGCAAACGTTCTCTATCCAAAATGTAAGTTTTTAGTGAAGACCTATAAATAACCTTTATTCCACAATTAGTTATGGATTAGCCTTTTTATTTGAAGAATTACCATTGTTTACAATGCAAAAGCGGAATTCTCGAGGTTACAGTATATGTAACATGAATGAATGAATGCAATTTAAACAGTTTAATATGAAAGGCTTGAAGTTTGTTAAAAACATGACTGACAAAATGATTTAGTTCATGAAATGTCAACTAAATAATACTGATAATAAGTGCAATTAAAGGATTGGTGTAAGATGTTTCGCTACATTTTTTATATTGTCACCTGATTTTATTGATTTTGTCAATTAATCTATAAAAGGTTAACTATGTTACACAAAATAAAAAAATCGAACAAGTGATCCCCCTTCACAAAAAAACTCGAGATAAGCAACAATATAAATTTATATATTGTATATTATGAAATTACAAGAGTTATCCAAGAAATTTTGACCAGAAATTGTTCCAGATTTCTGGTAAATCTTTATCAATGGCAAAATCAGATGATTTATTTATTAAAGACTTTTCAGAAGAAATAGAATTCTCAAAATTATTTATTAAAGATTTTTCGGAAGAAATAGAATTCACAGAATTATTTATTGAAGATTTTCCAGAAGAAATAGAATTCTCAGAATTTAAACAGGATTTCATATTAGCGTAATACTTTCGATTAATTCTGTGCCTAGACAAGTAATTGTGATCGGCACATTTAGAACATTTTCTAGTATGAGGAGGACATTTAATTTTACAATTTTCACTCTTGCAAGTGTAAAACGGAATATGATGACCATCACATTGATCGCAAAAACAGTTCGCAAAGGATCCGTGATCAAGGAAAGGACCATGTGGGCCATTAGCAAGGATAAGATCTTCAGGATGGATAGACAAAGATATATCATGTGAATTTAAATTTTTCGGAAGGTTCGTTATTAGGAATTTTTAGGAAAAATCGAGGGGAATTATTTGCAGAAAGAGTTCATGACGATCACATTTATAGTAAAATTTTTCACTAATTTAACATGAACAAAGCATAATACCCAGATGTGTTACAAAGTTACAAACTGATTTTACATAAAAAAAAATTATATGTACTAGCTGACTGATCAAGTATTGTAAAATAATTTTTTTATGTAAAATCAGTTGTGTAACATCAACGTTTCCTGTTTCACTATTTAGTATAAACTTTGATACTTTGTCTCGGAGTTTTTATCCATTTTAGCGAATGTGACCGCTTAAGACCTTAAAATCCACATAAAAAGTTCATGTATGACAAACTTGTCAAACGTATATAAGATAACGATAATACTGTACAGTAATTCTAAATATAGAAGGATAAAACCTTAAGGTTAACACATAGAGCAATAAAATAATGACGCAAAGATACGTATTAGGACTTAAGATGATAAAAGAATAGATATGAAAGAAACATCGATTCTAATTCGCATCAACAATTTGTCATTACTTCCAAGGTAAATAAATCTATAAATTAACCACTGAGGAAAGTGTGAAGAGAACCAATTTCTCTAAAGACAATCATTTCACAGACAAACATATTTTAGAGTATGAATAGTGATGTGAAAAGTTCGGTCCAAGTCGATCTTTTGAGTCAACTTAGTCCGGATATTTGTGTCGACTTTAGACTCAAGGAATCTTGAAGGACTGTAGCTGAATCGAATACTCCAGTACGTATCATGAAAGATCGATAAATATGCACCAGCCTTATCAGAACCATTGAAATAATACATTCCAAGGAATTTAGTAGCTTTTCATAGGCAAAATTTGGTTTCAAAAAAAAAAAAAGTGTGATTCACGTTACACTGGGGTGTTAGACATTGAATAATTACAAACATAATGCACATTTATTATAAAACTTACGTAGTTCTATAAAGTTAGATAAGTTTGATAGGTCAAATTTCAAATCAAGGAACGAACCAGGTCCAGAGTTGGGTCTATATCAAGGGTATTTTCCAAGCAGCTCATTCAATATAGTTAATTGAATCGTTCTTTGAGAAAATTCAATGTGCAAAATATGGGTTTAAATTTTAGCAAAAAAAGATGCATCTCCAAATTTTGTTGTGAATAGGGCATTCATTATATTGAAATTGTTTAAAGTTACAAATTTAATTTCAGGTTAAATGAAGCAACCATATTAAATATATAAATGATAAATGATAAATGTATTTGATGAATTGATAAGTAATTTGAAAAGCTAAATGACTTAGAGATATTGTAATATCTATGTTTATGATCATAAAAAAATAATTCTTACGAAAATATTAATGATTTGAAAATGAATCGTTGATCAACTTTTATCGGAGTTAACGTTAATAAATTCAATTAGATATTAACTTTGATAATTTAAGATGGTCGAATACTATGGTAGAAAAAATTTTTTTTGCTTATTATAGTATTATACGGATATATTACCAGAAGATTTTTATATAATGCAACATTATCGAAAATTGCGACAAAAGCTTTAGCAAAGGAAATAAGATATAGCTGATATCATTTAGCAAAAAATTATCTAGAGGATAGCAAATTTACTAGTATCATATAATAAGCTTAGACGTACTTGTGGTAAATAATTTTTTTTTTTTTAATATAAATATCTTCTACGAAGCAATACAATAGAAGAAAAGGCTTAAAATTAAAAAATAAACCAAAGCAAATATAAGAGATGAAAATAAGAAAAATATGAGAATACTCTAGAAACAAAGAATAAGTAAATCTAATATAAAAACTAAATTTGAGACAAGAAAAAAGAAAAAGTATATGATATATCCTTGTTAGAGTGTCCAGGGTGCTGCGGTACATAATTCTGCTCACGCTAAAAATAATTTTTTATATTGTTCTCATAAGAGGTACGTGATTTAAATCACCTTTTAACCCGAATTACAATATAAAAAAGTATTTTTAGTGAGAGCAGAATTATGCCCGTAATACCCTGGGCACTCTAACCTTTGTTGAAGGTTGAATAAAGCAACTTGATACAGGAAGAGTGAAACTGACCCAAACTAAAAAAGTACATGAAGAATTGAATAGAAGTTAATTGGATGCATTCTATTAACAAGGGATGAAAAAAAATTAATAAAAAATACAGTATATCGAAAATTGATCAGAAGTCGAATTGGAAGCATTCTAGATAGCAGAGGGGGAGTACTTGTTGGACATTTTTATATCATAAAACTTCGATTATAGTATTATCAATTTAAAAAGCCCAATTTTCTTGGATAAATCAATGCAAAGATATGCATATAATTAGGTTTGCATAATTGACAGTTTCCAATTGTGGCACGTGTTAAAAATTATGAAATAAGGCTTGTTTTATTGCATAAAGAATTAAAAAAAAAGTTTATATTTCTCAAAATTCAAAAATCCATTGATATATTTCACGGTTCCTATGCCCGTAGCATTTCTGATTAAAATTTTTACTGATGACGTAATGTCCGTGGAATAATTTTTGATATTTCCACGGCATTACGTCATCATAAAAATATCATCAGGGAGAACATTAGGGCTGTGGAATGGTTTAAAAAAATAAATGTTCCATGCTAAATTAATATCGTATATACTTTTTTTTTCTTTTTGAATATTGCATATTGACCCAAATTTCAACGCCTTAATACGTTCCAAAATAACGCGTTCTATATAATTTGATTGGTATATAGAACCAATACCATACAACTTATATTATGTGTCATTATGCTCGCTATAAAATGATTCAAAATACCGCAGATTCGCGTCCTGAGTAACGCGCAGATGCGCATTATTACGCGCTCGTACATATACGAATGAAATAAATTAAATAGCATATATTCATGAATTCAAATAGATTATTTTAAACATTTAAATCAATAAATGTTCTTTACTTAAATAAAAACAACTTTTATTTTAATAAATGTTCATGCACTAATTATCATCAATAAAATAAAAAATAATATAAATATTCATGAACTTGAATAGCTTATTTGAATACTTAGGTTTAAAGCTGCTCGATACGTAAGTATCGAGGCAGCTTTTGTATCGAATCATCACGAGACCAACATGTGACATCTCTGAGTATGTCCGGTCTAATGATCGATCAAGTAAGTATGAAGTAATCCTTATGTAGGATGAAGTAATGGGAAAGTTGAAATAATTAGTTGAATAAGTATGAGGTAATTAGTTAGTGTATAGGGATTTATTTCTTCTGTGAACCCGACATTCGTTCTGGTTACATCGACCCTCCCTCCCTACCCAGCAAGTTTTTTCCGGAGTGGCCTGTCGGGACGACAGTCATATGAGGTGCTAGGGTTGATGTGATTGTTCTAAGCGTATGGCCTGTCGGGACGACAGTCATATGAGGTGCTAGAGTTGATGTGATTGTTCTAAGCATATGGCCTGTCGGGGCGAACAGTCATTTATATAAGTTTCAATGCATTCTATGGTTCTATGACCTGCTGGGACGACAGTCATTTGTACTAATTTCTATTGCTTTTTATGACCTGTCGGGACGACAGTCAAATAGAAAAAAAGAAAAAATGTGAACGATACTAAAAAGGTTGCGTAAGTTGCTCGATTAGCAGAAAGGAACACCCAAATGTATTTCTATAGTAAGTCACCAGAAATGAGAGACAAAACAAATAAGTATTCTTTATACTCATGCACTAAATTATTGTGAATAAAATTATAAATAGTAAATTTTGACGAATTTAAATAGTGTAATGCTCTTTACACTTACATAAATTTGAATAGCTTACTCTCAATTAATGAATGTCTTTCTTTATACTCACATGCTAATTCAGTAATTATCGTCAATAAAATGTAATTCCGATAGTTTATTTATCATAAATATTTAGATTAATTATTTTTCTACTGTATACATAATCTAGAATAATTAATAAACATCCATGATTTGAATATTTGAATATTTGAATGCTTGGATTAATGGATGTTATGGACTAAATGAAGAAAAAATATGAATGGTTAATATATGCTCGTCCATTAAATCATGAAAATAAAAAAATTGGGTTGATAGTTTATCTTAAATACACATTAAATCATCATGTGGCATGAGTGATTGATAAAAATGTACCGGCACAAAGAGCAACTTCACTGCCGCAGCATATAGTTAACGCTGTCAAATAATCATCTTTTATCGGTTTAGCGTCATGTAACAAAATACATACTGCGGCAGTAATGTCATCAACTGAACTTCAGGGATCACCCTGGAGAATTCGAAAAAAGTGGCTAAATTGTCATGCAATATGACAGCAGTATTGTTTATGTGAAATACTATACAGCAATATGGCCATATTTAGAAGTATTTGTTGGTAACGTTCTTTATTTAAAGTTAGACGGACATGCAAGTAATTTTATTATAATTCAGAAATTCTGATATGGAAAAGTTGGTTAGAAACATTCTAGATAGCAAGTGATGAAAGTATCTCAGAAACTGCACTTTTTTATTTTTTATTTTTTGATTGGCATTCTTTATTAGTTTACTTAGATTTCATTTCACTTAATTTCAACTTTTTTTTGATTTTAAGGTGACCTGGTTTATTAACAGGACAAATTAAATGCAAAATGACATCTTATTTTTCTAATAGGGTAGATAGTTCCTTTTGACCCAGTTACACGAGAGATAAATTAAATCTCAGAATAACAGATAACGTACGTACGTACATACGTACGTGCCAGGGACGATGATTTTATGCAATTCACATAAAACCGCATAATATAGTCGACAACGCATAATAGGTTAAATTTGCTGCATAAAGTTTCATAAAATATGGTACAATTAAGTAATTATCGCATAATTGTCTCTAAGCGCTGTTCCAAAAGGCACCGAATAGAAAATCAATCACAAATTACGAGAAAAAAATTGGAGGTAAGTTCCGAACTATTCCGAAAGACGGCTTTCATACTAAGGTAGCTATAAAACCTCGAGTTTTATGTCATTTTATGTTCAAGACACAGCATTATAAATTTTGGATGCAAGATACTCACATGGGGTCTTTGTCTTGAAAATGACCTTACGGTACTTGATACCGTAAGGTCATTTTCAAGGCAAAGACCCCACATAATAAAGAAAAAATATATGCGCATAAAGGTGCATAGATTACTTTTGTTGCATGTATAATTGATAGTTTATTACAGCAGAAAATCCTTGTCTCTGCTCTAAGTGCTGTTCTGAAAGACAGCTTTCATACTAAGGTAGCTATAAAACTTCACGTTTTATGTCATATTACGTTCAAGACACAGCATAATTACAATTTTTGGGTGCAAAATTATCATATAATAAAGAAAAAAATATATGCGCATAAAAGTGCATAAATTCCTTTTGTTGCATGCATAATTGATAGTTTATTGCAGCATAAAATCATCGTCCTTGCTCTAAGTGCAGTTCCAAACTACGGTTTCATAAACCTTCGCGTTTTATGTCATTTTACGTTCAAGACACGCATATTTACAAATTTTGGATGCAAAATGCTCATATAATAAAGAAAAATATATACGCATAAAAGTGCATAAATTCCTTTTGTTGTATGCATAATTGATAGTTTATTGCAGCATAAAATCATCGTCCCTGCTCTAAGTGCTGTTCCAAAAGGCTCCGGATAGAAAATCAATCAACACAAATTACGAGCAAGATCGAGAAAAAATTGGAGGTTAGTTCCGAATTATTCCGAAAGACGGCTTTCATACTAAGGTAGCTATGAAACTTTGCGTTTTGTCATTTTATGTTCAAGACACACAGCATAATTATAAATTTTGGGTGCAAAATACTCACATAATTAAGAAAAATATATGCGCATAAAGTGTGTAAATTACTTTTGTTGCATGCATAATTGATAGTTTATTACAGCATAAAATCATCGTCCCTGAGTACGTACGTACGTACGTATACGCGCAGCCCATTACCGTTACATTTTAATTTCCCTCCAATGCTATAATGCAATCTTCCCATGTATATTCCAATAATGATTTGGGTCGCTCCCATTTTACGTTTGTATATTGATACCATATTTCATAAGCTGAAAAATCTGCAAATTTACATTACTATCGTGTCTAAATAGAATTTCCGACGATACATCACGGTACACTTTAGAAGTTTCGCGAATTTCAAAATGGTTGTAAAAAAAGAAACATCAATGCAGAGTTAATGATCATCGTACATGTGTTTCTTGCAGATGCACTTCTCATAGGTGCGTAAATATGAACACGAGAAACATGTTGCTTTTTCAATTCTTTGTGAAAAAATTTTCTTATTTTCATTAAGTAACGGCAAATGCAAAGAAAAAAAATTCAAACGAATAATTTTTGGATATTTTAATTTCATAATTAAACCTTCCGATTATGGTATTATCAAATTTAAATGCACATATTTTCTTGGATAAATTAATGCAAGATATACATCTAATTAGTTTTGCATGCATAATTAACATTTTCCAATTATGGTATTAAAGTAATTAAAAAATTTTTGAATTTTCTTTTTTCAAAATTATAAATAAGACATCTGTTTTTTAAAAAAAAATTTGTACTTTCAAAATTCAAAAAATCCATCTAATATAATACAATCTTTTATAACTAGTTTATAAATTCCTGAACAAAATGGCGTTCATTAGAAAACCCATAACCATCATGTTGATTGTGATGTCACTATATACTACTTTCGTTTTTGGTATGAAGTTAAAAATAATTTTTCTAAAAAGTTTTCCAATTGTAATTTAGAATCTTAACTAAAATTATTTATTTTCTTTTGAAAATATGTAGGTTTCACCTGTCCCAAGAAAAATGATAAGAATAATCCCAATGGACTTTACGCTAATCCAACTGACTGTTGTACATTCTATCAATGCGCTAACGGTCATCCATATGTTATGAATTGCCCTGATGGTTTGCAATGGAGTACGAAACGATTAAGATGTGAATGGCCAAAAAATTCTGATTGTGGGGTCAACGCCACCAGTTCAGCTTTTACGTGTCCAGAGAAAAATGATGAGAATAACCCTAATGGACTTTATGCTAATCCAAGTGATTGTTCTACATTCTATCAATGTTCTAACGGTAAATCATATTTAATGAATTGCCCTGATGATTTGCAATGGAGTACGAAACTATTAAGATGTGAATGGCCTGAAAATTCTGATTGCGGGGTCGAACCTAGTAAAGATTTTACATGCCCAAAGAAAAATAATAAGAAAAATCCTAATGGACTTTACGCTAATTCAAAAGACTGTTGTACATTCTATCAATGCGCTAACGGTCATCCATATCTGATGAATTGCCCTGATGGTTTGCAATGGAGTACGAAAAGATTAAGATGTGAATGGCCTGAAAATTCTGATTGCGGTGCCAAAAGCGGAAAGACGAATAGCAACTAGTTGCAATTGATCACAGTGGTTGTGACTGAATTTTTACTATATACATAAATATAAATAGATCGAAAATATTATTGTTCCAATTGTCTAATAATTTATTAATCTAATATTTGTTTGTCTAATTTAGTTATTAATTGAAGATGTCTATTTAAATAAAAATTTAAATAGACAATATGTCTATTTATAAATTAATTTGTTGTCAATTGGTCAATTGGTCAAATCAATTTACAGTTAACTTAGAAATAATAAATAGATGCAATCACTATAACTTACTAAATACTGAATTTATTAAAATGATTTGTTTGAATTATTATGATTTTACAATGTCTAATATTAGCTGGTAAGTGCGTGTATAAGCTTGCTTAAGGCTATAAAATGCTTTCTATTTGCTATATTAGAAACAGATAGAAATTAAACTATCAAGATAATTATCCAAATATTTGGACATTCAAATTTTACTAGATAATAGTTTTTTAAATATTCAAAAAATTTAGACAATATTTATAGGGAGCTACAGTCAGATACCCTAAATGCAATCCCCTAAATGCAGCACCTCTCTAAATATACAATGGAAGCTAGTTCTATAATGGGATTGTCCACAATAGCTCTCAAGGTTTGAGAACATTTATTAACATTTAAAATTTGGGTAAACAAATGTTTTTAGACCAATTTTGATGTTCTTACCACCATTGGAATCGTATTGATCTAGTGAACAAATTTGCTATTTATAAAAACTTACACCATAAATGCATCCACGTGATTACGATTAATATTTCTTGGCTACTAAAGTAGGGATGGTACGGTCCTGCAAGCCGGTCTCTTGGAGTTTTCGGTTCTAAATTGAGGACCGGTTCGGACTCTTATTGATCTTATTGTCTAAAAAAAAAGAAAAAAAAATTGTCGATGACCGTATCTATAAGTTTCCGATGTCGGCCTAATTCAGTAACATTGATTTTAGATTCGGTAACTTGTCGATTCGGCCATTGGTAATTTTTTTCAATCGTCCAGGATTTACGAAGATATATGCGACTATCATTAAAACCACATAGCTTAATTTGAAAACCAGCCATATGGGCTAGTTTATGGACCGGTCCTGGGTTACGGTCCGGTCCGCAGTCCTCTAGACCGAACCTGAGCGAACCGCAGCATCTCTATACTAGAGTCATATTTATCACATGATAATAGTTGCATCATGATATTATTAGTGTTTTCTAATTGCAACCTTCCCAAAATGCATGCTCGAGAGTGGTCCCGACGACATGCATTAAGGAGGTCTGACTGTATCTCGTAAACTATTAATCAGAATCACGTAATTTTGGTACAATCCTCTCATCGAGACGAATTGAATGTATCAAAGTCATGTAATTTTAATTAATAATTCATGAAATAATTGATTTTTTGTGAAAAATTTTTTTGTCAATTTGGTCACTTTTCCCAGCACCAAGCCCATAAAAATAAAATATATGGGGTCTTTGCCTTGAAAATCAAGTATGGGACATACGATTTACTATGTTCCATAACTCGACTTTCAAGGCAAAGACCCCATATACGGTCGTCCTTCTCTACAGTCACCTCCTATATAGTCACACCCTCTTTATAAGCACTATTTTTTGAAAATTATTGGCAATTTATTTATTAAAAAAAAAAACTTTATACAATCACATTACTATTAAAATTTTATAAACCGCGTGATTATAGAGGAGGATGACTGTATATTACTAAAATGTAATCTATTGTTGGTTAAAATTGAACTTGTTAACTATAATATAATATAGTAGAATCGAAAATAGTTTCATTTTACTCGACTTTATTAATTAAACACAACTCTTTTAAATATTTTAATCACCATATTGATAACGATAAGTATTGCGAGATCAGATGACTATGTTGTAGATCTCACGTTTAAATTGGTATTGTTTTTGCTTTTATGGTTAGTCTAATAGTTTTTTTGGTTAGTGCAGGTTTTTTAGAAGCATTGTTGTGATTGCATATGATAATCTATAAATTCCGGTAAAAGGGTAATGATTATGCAAGGGGTTGCTAAATGGATATGTTATAAGAACGTTTGTTCGGGAGAAAGGACGTTTCGCTATCGCTCGCTTGATTAAGGCTATCGTTCCCTCCCTCTTCACCCCATTGCTCAACGGCTATGTATAGTGAAATGACCACTCAGTGGACCAACAAGATATTGGTGCTAGAAATAAGGCTCCGCGGCTGCAGTAACAGTGCAAGGACCTTTTGTAAAAAGTAGTTAAGCTCCGTGACTGCAGAACAGTACAAGGGCCATGAAAATATTTTATAGCATACCCGAGAAAGTTTCACCTTTTCAGCTTTCCGATCCTCTTTTTAGCTATATCAAGACCTTTTTGGAACCCTTCTCACGTTGGAATTGTTAAAGCCGGATCTGTCAAGATAATGTCTCTTTTCGGATAGAAGTGCCTATATTTCGAGCTTATAGTTTACGGGAGGTTGAGAAGGCGCTAAAGTTTTGATTTATATCCAGGTTGCATTTGGAGGGTTTTATGATATAGGTTTGTTTGATATTATTGATTTTCGCTCGTGTAAGCGAGCCTATTCCCATATGTTTCTTCAATAAAGTATCTGATCGAGCAATAATAATGTGGTACACCGCAAAAAATAAATAAACTCCTAAATATCATTAGAAAACTGATTTATTTTTTTTCGATGAAATGTATTGGTTTCTGATCGCCACGATATTTACACTTGCAAGATTTGCACGATGGGATAGGTTTTTGTGATATTTCTGGTGTATTAATAAGATTTTTAGTCTTTGTGTTGGGCGTGTTTACAATAATTTGACTTTACTTTCCGTATGAACTTTCAATATTGGCTGTAAACTTTAATCATTCGTTAAATGGTTTCATAGCTATTTTTAACATTTTTAACAAAATATTAATAACATCTTTTAAAACACACTTATTTAGCCAATATCATTATTATTAAAGTTGGTAGGTTAATATAATACAATAATAACATTCACTTGAAATAATTAATCTTTTTTTAATAATATAAGTAAGTTTGATGTATGAAAAATTTTTTCAGGGCTTTTATATTTTCGTAGATAAATTGATTGCCATAAGCATTTAAGGAGGTTAATGTAATATTTTTACACACAGCCTCCGCTAAAGCTTTTTTGACTTCAATGTTAAGATCATTGCAAGAAATATTTAGGGATGTCAGAGTAGTGTTTACGCAAAGCGTCTCTGCGAATGCTTTCCCCCCTTCAAAATTAAGATTATTATGAGAAATATTTAAGGAAGCTAAGCTAGGATTTTTGCAAAGTGCCTCTGCTATTGCTTTTCCTCCTTCACAATTAAGATCATTTTGAGAAATATTTAGAAAAGTTAAGGTAGTGTTTATGCAAAGGGCTTTTGCGAATGCTTCTCCTCCTTCAAAATCAATTCCATTATAGCTAATATCTAAAGAAATCAAAGTAGCATTTTTACTAAGAGCATCCGCCAGTGATTTTGCACCTTTAGAACCAAGTCGATTAATACAAATATCTAAAGAAGCCAAAGTGGTATTTATACAGAGTGCTTCTGCTAATATTTCTCCTCCCTCGGGACCAAGGTTATTACGAGAAAGGTTTAGAGAAGTCAGTGTGATGTTTTTACGAAGAACTTTTGCAAACGCTTTTCCTCCTTCAAAACCAATTTTATTATCTCTAATGTTTAAACAAGTCAACTTATCGTTTTTACAAAGTGCTTCTGCCAATTTTTTCGCATTTTTAGAATCAAGGTTAACACTATAGATATATAAAGAAGTCAGAGTAGAGTTTTTACTAAGGGAATCTGCTAATGCTTTCATACCCTCAAACCCAAGATTTTCAAAAAGAATTAAATTAGTTAATGTTGTGCTTTTGCTAACGACCTTCATTAATTGTTTTATGATATTTCCTTCTAGTGCTAAATATTTAAGTTTTTTACTTGTTCGTAGAAACATTGCAATCAAAGAACACTTAATAGCATCTACAAGTTTGTCTCCACCTTTTTCTTTTGTGTTTATAAATATTGAATTAAGCCAATCTCTGACTCCATCAGTCAACTCAAAACCTACGCTTATGGTATAACTCGTGTACTCGAATAATGTTGAATATTTTTTTAGAAGAATAAAACGAGTTATTAGAGATCGTTCAGCATTATTTAATGCTAAAAGATATATTTTTATAAGTCTTTTATCCCTTATATGACGTGTTGGTTCTCTCCATAAAATTGGCACAATAATTCTACACCAATGACGGTTTACAAGAAGACATGAAAATAAGCTTTTATAATCTCTTTGGAGGTTATCAAATATTTTGAAAAAGCATTCGTTCGGCAACTTTATCATTTTAAAAATTAAGAATTTAATATAATCAAATCTCTCTAAACGCAATTTGTAGGATCTGACTTTTATAAGTTATATTTAGAGAACAATAAAAGCATTTATAGGAGTTTAATATATATTGAGGCCAGGAGTTAAAGGTTGTATCGTATTTAAGAAGTGTGTATTTTAGAGTGGAGTGATCTGGCGATATATATCGTGAAATAGAAATGTTATTCGTGCCATAAACTCTCAAAATTCGAAATTTCTGTTGTGTTGCATATTCAAATTAGGAAAATTTATAAATACGTACGTACGTACACTTTTTTAAAATTAGTACGACAGTCGAATTTTGTAAATTTTCTGTGAATTTCGGGTGGTTATTACTATATTGTCTGCTTATATTTACCAATTACATGTACATGTCGACATATATTAATAATTATATGCGTATATATATCTACTTAACAATCGATATACTGTATCTAGTACAAAATGATTAGGTCAGTAACAGAAGAACTATTTAATAAAACATAAGTAATTGAATCAAATTTGAATGAAGTTTACACTATTTTTACCTGGTTAAAAAAATATATATATATAATGAATACCTTGAATACTTGAGCAACTTCAATAAATATTTAATCTGATTTTTTGTTTAGATACAATTCAAAATATAA